CACTTTATGTGAAAGGGTGTCAATGCTGGAATGTGGCTCAGGAAATAGCCTCAGTGTCACACTTTCCTCTACACAGTTGTCAAACTACAGTTGTGCGTCATGTTGCCGTCTTCCCTCAGTGGCCTAATGTTGTCACCGCTGAGGCTGCAACATTACCACCAGTGCCATCCCTCTCCAAGGCTCTGTACATCCTTAGCTCCAGAAATTACAGAAATTAACCACTTGCCCTCCTGAGGATTTACCCCCCCCCCCCCTTCCTGACCAGACCGGTTTTTTGCGATACGGTGCTGCCTTACTTTAACTGACAATTGCGCAGTCATGCAATGCTGCACCCACATTAAATTTGTCCTTTTTTCCCCACAAATAGAGCTTTCGTTCGACAACATACAATTTTTATGTGAACATGCTGTATTATAAGTCTAGCAAACCTTTGTAATGCATTGCAGTGGATACCAGTGTTGCTATACAGCATTGTTCTTTGTTCAGTATATTAACACAGACATTCATTTTAGAATAAAAATAAATAAGCTAACCTAAATAACCTATTCTAAAATGAGGAAGGGAAGTACAGAAATTTACAATTTATAACAAAACAATTAGGGCCTATTCATTCCTTCCATTCATTGCCATTTCTCATGTAGCAAAATGCATGCAATTTAAGCACTTGCCCTCCGGAGGATTTACCCCCCTTCCTGACCAGGCCATTTTTTGCGATACGGTGCTGCCTTACTTTAACTGACAATTCGCAGTCATGCAACGCTGCACCCAAATTAAATTTGTCCTTTTTCCCCACAAATAGAGCTTTCGTTCAGTGCTATTTGATTGCCTCTGCAGTTTTTATTTGCACTATAAAAAAAAAAAGACTGCCAATTTTGAGAAAAAAAAAATATATATTTTTTACTTTTTGCTATTAAACATGTTATGCAGAGCCATACAAAGCAGTGTGCAGGAACTGACAGGGGAGAGATCTGTATTGTTTACATACAGGTCTCTCCCACATCCATGATACACGGTGTTCCCCGGGGAATCACAGGTGAAGCCGCCAATGGCGGTGTGGGTAGGGTACATGCCTACCCGGAAATTCAAAATCACGTATATATACACACACGTAAATTTACGCACCCCTACCACCCTGTAGCAGTATTTCTGCTATAGGGCGGCAGAAAGGGCTTAAAGAAAGTGATGTTGTGTTGTGAGACCATATGATTTGGAAAATAGAAAACCTACTGTATATTTTAGCAATGGGTAGGTGTGCCATTGTGTTCTTATAGTTTTAGAATGAAAAAGGAATGCTGGAAAATAAAAATCCAGGCATTTGTAGAACATCACCAAAGGTTACATTCCTGGCACTCACCACCCCTGGAAAGCTTAAAGAAACCCCCAAAAAACCAAACATCTAAAATATGAAATTATGGCCAACATCTATAGAGGAAATTATGGCCGATATTTAAATCATTTAAAAAACATTGCATAATACTGTAGATAACAGTGTGTAAAGCAACAATTCATTAGGTTTGACAACAACCTAACAACAAACTATGCAGTTTTATTGCATTCCCATTGATTTGTAAGGGAGTGAAAAACAATGCTGGCCATAGTTTTCTTATTACTGGAAAAATTGGTGACCAAACCGCATCTGCAGAAGCTTAAAATGCTTTGAGGGGAGTATATTAATTTGCAAAGCAAGTTTTCAATTTGCTTAGTGAATAAGGTGAAAATTTACTTTGAAAAGAACATCCAATCATGTGTGATTTAAAAGAAAAATAATTTCGCTTCCATCCACGATTGGGTATTTAAAGTCAGCACAACTTCAGCTCAAATCAGAAGTGCGAGTGAATTTTCACAATGCAAAGTAAACGTGTCCTACTCCTCTAGTAATACCTCGGTTTTACAACGCCTCGGTTAATGTAATTTTTGGTTTACGAATGAAAATCCATTGAAAATAATGCCTCGGTTTACGAATTTTTTTTCGCAATAAGAAGTGTATGTCATTGCTGATTTTTAAATGCAATTGTCGGCTTTTTTTTTTTTTCTTCACTATAGCTCACAGAATTAGCTCACTTTTCCTGGAGTTAAGGGAAACTTTGTTTATTTTAAGAAACTACAAGGAGACATTGGTTCTCTTAACTCAGGGAAGTAAACTAAAAGAAAAACCTTCTTTTAGCTGGGGGTAAAGTGACAGCTGAATTTCTGATCCATAGAGGAGAAAAAAAAAAAAAAAAAATTAAAAAAAAGCGGTACACAATAATAAATTAAGAAACCAGTGGGGGGTCCCCCCTTTTATCCATACCAAGCCCTTTAGGTCTGGTATGAATTTTGAGGGGAACTCCCACACCAAAATTAAAAAAAAAAAAAAAAAAAAAAAAAAGGGAGCGTGGGGGCTCCCCCCCAAAATCCATACCAGACCCTTATCGGAGCATGCAGCCCAGCAGGCCTGAGCACCACCCCCCCCCCCTCTTGAACCATACCAGGCCACATGCCCTCAACATGTCCCTGGGTGGCCACGCCCCTTACATATTTTAAGAACTGTGAAACCACCAGAGCAGGCAGAAGGCTGGAAGCCATTGTTTGAAGTGGAGCCTTTTTTCTGTTTTCGGGTCGGCAGCAGCAGGCATCGTGATTGACGTTGGATCTACTGCAGGGGACATTCTTTTAATAAAAGGACTTTTCAAAGACCGTGTCCTGTCTTTTTTCACACTACACTTCTTGTGAATGAGTAGGGTACCATGTACTCATTCACATGGGGTGGGCGGGATCTGGGGGCCCCCTTGTGAAAGGGGGCTTCCAGATTCGGAAAAGCCCCCTGCCCACAGACCCCCACAACCGCCAGCCAGGCAAGTTGATTTGGGGGGGGGGGGGGGGGGAGCCTCCCCTGCCCCTAAAGCAACCCCCATGTTGAGGGCATGGGGCCTGGTATGGTTCAGGAAGAAGGGGGGGGAGGCGCTCACTGCCCGCCCCCCCCCCCCTTTCCTGACCTGCATCCTCAGATATGGGTCTAGTATGAATTTGCGGGGGAGCCCCCCCCCCCCCACACCATTTTTTAAAAAATTTGTGTTCCTCTCAAAATCCATACCAGACCCGAAGGGCTTGGTATGCAAGGGAAGGGGGACCCCACGCCGTTTTTGTTTTTTTTTTTAAATAATTATTTTTTTAATTGCTGGCCATTCTTTCAGCTGTCAGTGGGGAACATTACCACTTGGTTGTCACTAGTAAAATACCACATGACTTGATAAGATAACTCATGCGGTATTTTAGTAGTAGTTTACTTTTTTCTGTTCTTCGGAACGGATTAATTGGTTTTCAATGCATTCCTATGGAAAACGCTATAGAAAAAGTCCTGCAGAAGGAATTACATTCGTAAACCGGAGGTATTACTGTACAACCCCACAGCATCTACAGTATGGTGCATCCAGTAAACCCCCAAAAATGTCAGTATTGGCACCCCTGTTCATCATGAAGAAAAACTGTTGTGGGAGCATTCAGACTGCCATATTGTCAAACCAAATTTTAGTGAATAGAGCATAGGTACACTTTAAGGCCTCATGCACACAGGCATAGGAATTTATGCTCCAAATATGCTGCATTTTTTCTTTGCAGACAAATGCCTGTAATGTCACATATGTATGTATGGCATCAAGCATAAATGCGTTCTACACGAATATAAATTTTATTCTAACAATTGTGAATTTGGATTTTTTTTTTTTTTTTGAATACACCCCTGCACACTGCCTGAAAATACACCTATAAAAAGACATAATGTGCTCACGCACATTAGATAACCTACAGCTGCTTTGAGGTATGAAAAAGGAAAATGGCAGACGCCTCTAACAGCAGCATTTTTTCTGCCCGTGAGCATGAGGCTTAGAGCACTCCACAGTGGTTATTTGCAACATAAGGTAAAACACTTCGGGCAAACTCATCCACATAAAGCATTAGGTCCATTGAGATGGTCTTACAGGTACAAAAACTGATCACACAAAGCTTTGAAACACCTACAAATTTACTTTATTGCCTTATCCAGCATTTGGTACAGAAAGGTTCAGCCAATCTTTATTAAAATACAATTTTGCCAAGAAATAATTGAAAAAGAAAAAAAAAAAAAAAACAAAAACATTCACTGGTGAATATACATAGAAAAAAAAACCAAAAAACACTGAAATACATTAATAAGTTAGCTATACAGCATGAGAATTAACCCTTTCAGCAAAAAAAAAAAAAGTATAGGCATCCAAACTCCACTCGAGATGTACTTGGATAAGACACTAATAGAGACGTAAGATCTTCGGCATAAAAGCAAGAAAGGGTTAATTCGCAAAGTCCAGATTGTTTGTTTAGGTGCGCTGTGAACATATAGGTTTGGTTTCAATGTTCGAACCGTAACCCCCTCAAGCTTGGCTCCATTCTTCCTTTAGTTAGAGGTTAACCATGGTTAGGAGGAGGAGTCGGGATTGCTGGCGTGGAAGGGGTTCACATGACATTCAAAGCACATCTTTATTTTAATTGTATGGGAAAAAAGGCTGAGCCCCATCCTTCCGAAGAGAGATCATGTTGGGGTACAATTAGTATAAAGTCTGTATTATGTGTTCATTATCAAACTATTAATACTCAACACCACTCTGCAGCTTAATGACATTTGATTTGATGTACAGTATATATATGGTGATACTATGTACCACTATACATCTCAGAGGAATGTTTGCATCGAACAGACAATGACCAGAGTAATCCCCCAGCTGGGGGGACCTGTGGTAGGGAACAATCTTAGTGGGAAATCTGATCTTGCAGTAAAAACTGAACACACATCAACAGACAACGTTAAAAAGACTCTTCCACATTTGCTAATGAAGAAGTAAGGATAGTGACCTGAGGGCAGTGCCGATTTGACTGCCCCCTGCTGGGGATGGAGAGGGCTAGACATTAGAAGATTTGGTAGTTCAGCCCCCTGATATCGTAATGTTTGTTCTTTGTCCTGCATCCAATCGCCACCCGCTCTGCTCTGCTCACATCACTCCGCAGCATGAGTTCTGCTTTCGCGCCTGAGGGAAAAATAAAAGGGGAGTACAGAGGAGTTAAAATAGGCCATGCGAGCATTAAAGAAAAAGTTTTTTTTTTTTTACTGTACAGATTAGTAAAGTTCATACATGCATGTTAAAATGGGGGGGGGGGGGGGTAAACACCCATTCATGACACGGGGTAGAAAGAGTGTATTGAGAAGAATAGATTAATGGACAGGAGCACTTTGCAATGAAATGAGAGCAGACTTCCTTATCCATCTTCTTTCATTATGCTTAATGCCTACCCTGAGGACATCTGAGGGTTTTAAACGTTAGTGACCAATATACTGTGCCACCTGTGTGTGCAAACTTTAAAAAAATATTAGCCTTTAAGTCACCAGCTAAGTTATTTTACATGTCAAAGAAAGTACAACCTCAACAGGTCTCAAAATCACAAGTATCATCTACTCTCTGTATCTCCTGTGATACCGCAAACCATGGGTATCAACCATCTCCTTTGGAAATTTCCTACAGACTGCAAACAATGAGTACCATCTTCTTCTTTGTGGATCTTACCCCCACACATAAATTTACCTGTAATGCAGTCTGTTCCCTGTCTGGCTGCTGCATGGTGTAGAGATTTTTTTTCCCCACAGCGCTGCTGGGGTTAACATTAGCTGTTGTGAGTGTAAAAGAGTTGCACCTCCTGCCCCCCTGTAGTATTTTTTCCCAGATTTTAAAGTGTTCTGTGAATAGAGGAGGTGAATCCTGTCATTCATTGACCCATCCTCCATTCACAGAACACTGTTCTGGGAAAGAATAGTTCATAGAACAGTTATATGTATGGATGGATGAGTGGCGCAACTCTTAACACTTGCAGTGGCTGATGTAAACCAGCACAGAACTGAAAGATCAGCACTGTGCAGAGGAAATGGTGGCAATATGACACTAGCAGCAGCCAGCCAGATACACTTCATTACAGATGAGTTGTGTCCCTGGTGTTGTATAGGAAAGAAAATTCAAACTAGACCTCAGTTGTAACACAAGAAAATGACAGACAATATGTGGCTTACCCATCATTGTTTAAAACCTATTATTTGCTAGACACATGGATCTCAAGCTATTGACACGTACCGTTTTGTAGAATGCTTTGGAATGGCTTCCCAGTACTTCCGATTTACTGACCAAGTCATCCAGTTTTTCTCCACGCTGTAATAAGGACTCCATAGTGTTGTGCTAATGAAGACAGATGTATAAATACAGACAATGAATTGCTCAGTGACTTCACGTTCTGTAGGGCTGGAATGTAGGGTGTATGTAGCATTCTCCCTCCTTTAGTACTAAGCCAACTACCAACAGAACTAAATTTACTTTTGTCCAGAGCTTGCCAATTCTCAATTTTAATATCAAAAGGTTGGCTTAGAAGACTAAACATTTTTAGCAGACTGACACACGTGGACCGCCAACATACAATTTTTATGTGAACATGCTGTATTATAAAACTAGCAAACCTTTGTAATGTATTGCAGTGGATACCAGTGTTGCTATACAGCATTGTTGTTCTTTGTTCAGTATCCAACACAGACATTCATTTTAGAACAAAAATAAACAAGCTAACCTAAATAACCTATTCTAAAATGTACAATTTATCACAAAACAATTAGGGCCTATTCATTCCTTCCATTCATTGCCAATTTTCATGTAGCAAAATGCATGCAATTTAGGCACTTGACCTCCAGAGGATTTATCCCCCTCCTTGACTAGGCCATTTTTTTGGGAAACGGCACTGCGTTACTTTAACTGACAATTGTGCGGTCATGCAATGCTGCACCCAAAATGAAATGTTCTTTTGTTCCCCCCACAAATGGAGCGGTCTATTGGTGGTATTTGATCACTTGTGCGGTTTGAATTTTTTGCGGGGGGGGAGAAACCACAAAAAAATATTTTTTACTTCTTGCTATAAAAATATATCCAGTAAGAAAAATCAAATTTAGTCAAATTTGGGCAAAAATGTATTCTGCATGCGCCCCCTACCGGGAAAATACAAAATCAAGTATATGTACACGTGATTTTGCGCAGCCCTGCCGCCCTGTAGCAGTAGTTCTGCTATAGGGCAGTCAGGAAGCGGTTAACACAGTTTTGCAGTTTAGTGTGAGGGCCTATTCATAGGTGTGTGTGCGTTACCAAACATTCTGCAATGCACACCGACAGTATGAATTCAGCCTAATATTTGTTTACCAGGGATCTTCAGTAAACCCTTCATTAGTTCTGAATCTATGTATTTTTTCTACATTAGGCATTCTATCAGAAATGATGGGATCTGTTCAAAACCATTTCTATATTCAACCTTACTATATCTCTTCACAGTTTAGAGGTGCAGCAAGTTTCTACATTTACTAAATCCTCTCTTTTCATCTCTATATCATACTGTACAGCACTATAGAGCAGTGAATACATAAAATCTCTACCAGATTTATACTGCTGGCTGTATTTGCAAGGTGTAGATTTCCCCAATTGTCTCTTCCTGTCAGTAGGATAAGCAGATGAGAAAAATTGTTCTGCAATTGGAAGAGCAGACAGAAGCAAAAACACTTTTCTGTACAGTGGTGGGGGGGGGAAGCGTTAGAACCACTGCAGGGGTTTTATTGCCTTCTGTGTCTGCTCATCTTGGTGGCATTCAATTATATTTATTTTTTGTCCTATGTCAATAAAACAGAAATTTCTCCAATGGAAAAAGTTCAAAAAACACTCTTCATGCTATCCAAGACTAAGATGTGAAGGCTCCAGTGAGAATACACTATTTACCAGGATAATTTTGGTTTCGTCCAGCTCGGCTTGTACTTTACACATTGGATCAGCTTCCCGAGGATTCTAAAAAAAACACAACATATATTTTTTATATGGTAGCCTCCTATTTTCTGAGATTTCAATTTTCCACTTCCTCTATGATACTTGTTAAGCAAAGCAACAACTGGAATTTGCAAACCGCTTATGCAGGACCTCCTGGGCAAGACCTGACTTTCTTTTCAAGAGATTAAATAACTACTCTATTTTTTTTCTGGAATGACTACCATCATGTATTATGTGAAGGGTATGCTTCCCCTTTATGAATCTGAACATTTAGTATTCAGATTCTGGGAACAAGATGGGACATCTATACACAAACAAATTGACAGATTAACCAATAGATTTAAATTGTGGAGTTCATTATGACCATCAACCTCTATGCCACACAATGCTAAAAAAAAAATTTCCATAAAGGGTATGATATTCCTGATGAAACTGGTGGTCAATTTAACACAAAAGGGCAATATAGTTCATTTTAAAATAGGAAGCGATTAGATCTGAACGCAGAGGCTCTGCATTCGCATACGTGCACCCCTTCTGCCAGTATGTCAGACTGACAATGGGCTGCTTGTACGCAGCTCCGAGGTAGATGCATATGCATCTGCAAGTGGCTGTGCATGGAGGATGGTACTAATCTGCCATCTGAATGAGCCCCAAATCTCACTTTTGCAGGACCTGCCATAAACCCTCTAACATTTCAATGTGACACCCAAAAATAGAACAGAAAAATAAATGGGGCATATAGGTATATACCAGCACACTGGAAAATCCTAGTTAAAACTATATGCCTGACACTTTCTATTCTTTTGAGAGGATAATTTGCAACTATTGCGTGCCCATGGCTATAACACACTTACCTGATACTTCGCTAGATAAGAATCCAGGGCATTATACTGAATAGTGGCTGGAGAGCCAGATGGCCAGTCTATCCTGTCCACCTGGGTGGAGAATTCCTCCAGGACCTGAGAAAAAAAAAAAATAATAAAATCAGCTCCAGAACACAACATGTACCCAAAAAAAACTGTTGTCCTGTGTATAAGTAAATTTTCTACAAAAACATGGTTTACGTCAGACTCTGCAAAAGCTGAAACACATTACAAATGACATTTCCTTAAACAATTCAGAGAAAAAAAATCAGTGGTTACTGCAGCAGCTTCACAAATATGGAGTGTGACGATTGCGACGTCAGACCCCTGAACTTCTCACCAAACTCGTGACCGAAGTAACATTCCACCCGCGGGTAGATTAATATGCAGACGTATCTGAGGAACGGTTAGATACGAGATATGAAATGCACACTTGAGTGGTTCAAGAGATGTAATTTTCTGCCTTCCTATGTACTCCAACCAAGGAGAGTGACATATCAAACTGTCTTCTTGTTGCCAATCTGAAGATATGCCTGTTTTTTATGCAAGTCTCTCATATTCCAAGATATGAGACATAGCGGAAAAAAAAAAATGGATTTTAAAAGTGTTATCTAGTTTCTTACTCATCTGGAATGTCTTTGAACTCAGGGGAAGGCTTGGGTTATCTTTGTACGAGGTGCCAGATTGCTCAACTTCCCAGCCATCCCAACACCTAGCTCAAAGATGGTTTATAGCTCGGAGCTCCCTGCTGTGCCCTGCCCAGCCTGTGACACTTCCAACACACACACCAACCAAATGTTACTGTGACTCTCAGAGAGGGAGGGGGAGAATGAGGGGAGATGTGTTTGTACAAGATGGATGATCCTTTGCCAAGATGGAGGTTGGAGCCAAAATGGTTGAACCACGCCCATCTCTGTGCCATGATTGCTACATGGAGGTTTTAAATATTTATGCTTTGGGGGGAAGAGAGGGCACAGATTTAAAATTATTCCACTTCAGCTATCACATCTTTACACCCCTAAGAAGCAGAGCATTTTTTAAAGTTCTGCTATAGGCTGGTTTACTCAGCAATAACATTGTCATAACTTAAAGCGTGACTAAACCCAGAACATTAAAATCAGTCTATATATGCAGTATAGCATGCTTGTTATACTCACTGTGGAACCTAATCCTCCACATTGTGTAAAAAGGCTGTTCCTGTCTTTTCTGATCCTCCACTTCTACTGTCCCCCGATCCATCTGCTGATAGTACAGAGCTCTAGAAGTCATTCTGCACATGCTCAGTTTAGTGTGTACGGCTACAGTTTTTTTTTTTCTCCATTGGGAGAGTGCATGTGATCAGAACAGGGGCAATCACCACGGTTCTGACTGAGGACAGTCTCAGAGCACAATGAAAACTCCTACAGGATTAAACCAGTGCTCAGCTGGACACTGATAGAAGTCACATGACTGCTATATACCGCTGATGAGAAAAGGTATTTAGCAGTTTATATTTACTAAAATGATAGCATTTCCATGTTCTGTGTACTGTGAGAGACCAGATATAGTGAATACAGGTTCATGGGTTTAGTATCACTTTAAGTTATGAGTAAGCATTGACAACAGCGCAAAATGCATTAACTTTAAATTGTTCCTGCACTGGCTCTGATGTTTTTAGAAGAAGATTCAATAATGGATTCGAGGAAGTGCTGCAAATTCTGGATTAATTTCTTTGCCTTTTATCTACAGACGAGCTGTGCTAGCACCCTCATTACAAGCTTGTAACCGGTATCATCTTGATTTCTCACCTGGGAGCGGCTTTACACTACCATTGTTATAACTTAAAGCGGAATTTTAGTTGCGCCACTCACCTGCCCCCTTTGCCATTCACTTAACTTATACCATTATCATTCCACAATGCATTACATTCTGTGAATGGGTATAGGAGATCTTGTCATTCAACTAATCCTCCTCCTCCATTCACAAAAAAACGCAGTGCAATAACAGTAAGAGATTTGTGAATGCTGGACAGGAGCCCTACAGGTAACAGGATACACACCCACTGCGCATAATGAATCTCTATGGTGCTGTAGGGAGGAAAAAAAAAAAGGGGAGGGAACACTAAACTTCTTTATAAAAGTAATACATACTGAATACAAGGTTTTCTTTATGCAATCCATACAAAAAATGTATTCACTTTTTATCCTTATAGTTAAAAGTTATAATTCTGGTACAAAACACTGCAAAATTATTTACAAATGAGTCAAAGGCTTTTTTAACTGACAGTAGTATAAATAAAGAGAATGAAAATACCTAGGGATTAAAAGACATTGGGAAAAAAAATACTTAAAGGGGGAAGAGAAGCATGAGTCAATTAGGGTTAATTGGGGGGGGGGGGGGTAAACTAAGGGTTAATAAGGGAATAAAATAGGAATTTAAAATGTATTTATTTATTTTACTCGTCAGTTTGCTTTACTCACATTATATGCAGATCAAAGCTCATCCCTTTGGTCTGCAGATGAATGAAAGAGTAGATACAAGAGTAACAATGTTATTTTATATCTCTATTTTGTCTGAACATCATAACATAGAATATATATCATTATTCACAGCAGCAGCTGTAATAGATGCTGGCTGTTATTTTGACATTCAGCAATTGTGGGCAAATGTGAGTGTCATGACAGCGGAGCAGAAGACATGATGTCTGATGTGTGTTTTTGATGACATTTTTTGTTGCTCATGTGCAGGATGGCCAGTGTTAAAATGTATGTAAAAGCCAAAACCTTTTCTTTTTTGTACAACTGCAAGCACAACAAAAAATGTCTACCGTTGCAGTGAGGCTCTCTATACCTATGGCTGCATGAATATGAAGTAATGCTTACTTTATTGCTTGCTTCATCAGGGCCCTTCTAGCAGTACAACAGGTCCAGAGAAGTCTCCCAAGGCACTACTACTTTAGGAGACCCTCCATTGCAGGGTGAATATAACTGCATGGTATGTGATGACTGTGAGGGAAAACACACAGACCAAATTGTCCCGGTGAAAACTTTCACTACAACTAAAGTGATGGGAAAATTTTGAGTTGGCACCACCCACAAAAGGAATAAAGAGAAAAATCTTCCAATGGAGATGCTTATTCCTGTGACAACTGTCTAGGAGGGGAAGTGCACTCACTTTGGGGAGATTTGCACTTTCTTTCTGTTGTGCCTGCAAGACAGTAAGCAGATCTTTCCAATGGGGCACAGATGGTTAAAACCCCTGACATTTATTTATGCCAAGCTCTACTCCATGCAAAATTAATAAAAAGATTTTGCTTTAGATATACTCCGTACATAAAATGTTTTGATTAAGGGCATATGAATTTATGTCTCAAATATGCTGAATTATTTCTGCCAGTATTTGTCAGGAAAAAGGTCTCAAACGTCACATGTACGCACTTTTCCGGGTGTATGGCACGGAGAGTATTTGCATTCTACAGGCCTGAATACACATTTATTCTGACAACTGTAATACATTTATGCTCATCTGTGTGAAAAACTAAACTCATAAGCTCCTCTCTGAATGCAGCTTTGGTGCATTGTTATAGGCCTTTTTTTAAAATACAAATACTGATCTAAATGCTTGATGTGCATGGTCACATTGAACTGTGTTTAGATGAAGAGAGAGATAAAAAAAAAAAAAAGTACATGCTAGACTACTAACAGCAGCATTTTATTTAGCCCATGTGCAAGAGACCTAATGCATTTTAAATACAGCTGTGAAGATTCTACTGTTTGTCAGGCTGCACAATCAGGACCATTACTGCAACGAACAGGACAATCCACAAATGTTGGTTTTAGATACACCCTTAAAGTGATTCTAAAAAAAAAAAAAAAAAAAAAAAAAGGGCACACTTTTTTTTTTTTTTTTTTTTTACCCCTTCACGCCGGATCGTCCCGGCGTGAAGAGGAGTTCCTGTGCAGGGAGGTGGGTGGGATGGGGTGGGGCTTAGTGTCACGTGGCCGCCGTGATGTCACGGCCAGTCACATGATTGGGAAAGGTCCCGATCGAAAGAGCGGACCGGGACCTTTCCTTGAGTACCGCACGTGTGCTGGGAGCGCGCAAGGCACGCGCTCTCCGCACATATGTTTTTTGTTACATGAACGCAAATGTGCGTCCGCTCGGCGTCTAGGCCCAGATGCTGGGAGGCTGCACATTTGCGTACGGCCGGCGTGAAGGGGTTTTAAAAACAAACAAACCAGTTGTCCAATGGTTTTGCAGAGTAGCCCCGATCCTCTTCCTCTTGGGTTGCCAATGGCACCCACTGCTCTGTCTCAGCCAATGAGAGAGAGAGAGACCTGGGACAGCTGAGGCTCCCGTGCACATCGCTGGATTGAGAGGGTTCTCAGGTGAGTATTGGGGGGGGGGGGGGGGGAATAAGCACACGTTTTTTTTTACCTAAATGCATAGAATGCAAAAAAAACTTTTCAGCCTTTACAACCACTTTAAGAAATTTACCACGTGTGGTCAAATTATTGAACTTTAGTCAAACAAGTTTGAACAGGACAATTCCACCATACCAGTGACTCTCTGAATATGGTTGGTCAGGCATATTTCCTAGCTATGCTATTGTTACAATTATTTTCTTCCTTGGGACTCAAACATTCAATCAAATTTTGCAGTCCTACCTTTTCAAGGAGTGTGAAGCAAACTCTTTGAGGATACTCTGCATCAGCAATTACTACGCCTGCCAGGGAGTCATTCCGCACATAAACATGGCAAAGATATTCTGTGGGGAGAGAGGAGGATAATATCACATTTATAAGGCTTGCTATTATTACACATGGATGTTATTTGAACAACGTGTATGCTTATGGATAAATAATGATCTGCACCCCAAAATGCAGTGGTGCAGGGTACCACTCCTTGCAGGGTTGTGACAGGTCTCAGGGAGCCTGCCAGGTAGATTTGCAACTACGCTAATGATACGGTTCACCTGCTTCATTCTGTATTCTCTAAATCAGTGTTAAGGACAACATTTTTTTTTTTGGTTTGATTAGAGAGTGGAAGAGATCTCTCTTCTGTTGGAGAAATGAAGAGCTCTTCCAAAGACACCAATGACAATAACAATCTGAAGGAGTTCTCACCTTTAAACACCTTTTGTATTTGGGAAAAACAGCAGCTTATGAATATATAACTGAGTATAGCTTGATTTTGAAATCGAGATTTGTAGATTAGCCAATAAGGGTGGTCTTAGTGGCTCAGTGCTGTCATGAGAAAGATAGGAGGATGGTAATTGCGGGCAACTCCTAAAAAATGCTACTGGCCTGGCAGTTATTTGGAGGGGGGGGGGGGGGGGTTGTGGTGTTTATTATTACAATGATTATATAGAGTCAGTGCCTGGACAAATTGTGTGTAATAGTCCTACAGAGAGGCCCTGATTTTCCTCTTCCTAAATATTAAATTCACATCCATAGTTGGCCAAAAAATTGCCCCCCTAGACTGGTGGTCAGTGAGGTGCCCACCTTGTGCCCCCAGTGAAACTTCCCCTTGATGCTGGTGAAGCCCCCCCCCCCCCCCGACAGTGATGGCTGGCAAAGTTCCCCTCTGATGCCAGTGGTCCATGATGCTTCCCTTACATTGCTGGTAAAGGTGTTCGAGCACGTGGCGTTACAGTAATATATGAAAAACTGTAACTGCAGCATTTTCGGATATTCAACACACCACAGGCAGTGTTGCGGTACTGTGTACTACGTGTATGTTGGAAGCTGCAGTCCAAATGCGTTGGTGTAAAACTGATTCAGTCAGTAGTATGGTAACTGAATGAGACAGCTGCCCTAAAGTATTTTTAGATCTTTTTCTCCCCCAAGTTCTATCCATATAGACCAGTTTGGGTTAAAATTATTTAGTTTTTTTTTTTTTTTTTTTTTTTTTTTTAACAGAACAAGTAGATTGTGACCCCAGGTTAGTCCCTTGGACACAGTTTTTAAAAAAATTTCCACACCCCTTTAAAATTCTAAGAACTAAAATAAAAAACAGTAACCTCTCACACAAAGGAGGTAAATAGGCTCCCCTGAAAGGTAAGTGTTCTGGGGGTGGTAAAAACACAACTCAACCACCTGTTTTTTCCCACCTCATTGCTGCCTGCATGAAAGAGGCCGTAGAGTTTTTTTTTTTTTTTTTACCAAAATCTAAGATCTGAATGAGTCTCCTCAGCCCCCAACATTGTTTATACATTTTGAGAGACTAGGTTGCGGCAAATATATATACAATGCTAATGTCACTCTTACTGTCCACTGTGCAAAACTGACACCAGTGGTTTTGTTACATATGCAGTAGTTGGAATTTAGTCAGTATTTGTATACTAATGTCTCGTACACATAACAAAATCAGCACTTCATTCAACCTGTAACACACTACATACATCTACAGTTTGGGAAGAGTTGTCCTTTGTCATTTTTTGTTTTTTAATTATTTCTGCCAAACAACATGACCTGTGCAACAAGGAATGACCTGTGCAAAAAGGCGTTGATTTTCTTTTTTAATATTGAAAGTTGATCCCACATATGTTCTCACAAACTATTGCATGGATTTGTATACTGACCATTAGTCTTACCTTGTTCTTTCACTGATGATCGACTCCCTTTTTCTGACCGCTCAACAATCAGCTGGCTAGTAAATGTCATAAACTCTTGCACACTGTAAAGGCATGGAAAACTAGGCAGTGAGGGGATATGTACCAATAGAATACATAATATAAGTCAACACTTTAAATTATGGAGCCTGGCCATGCAAGGCTGTAATGCTGTCCATTAAGCCAATCTGTTTTAGCTGGCAACACATGCAATTTCTTTTAATTACCACCAGCTTCACTATCCTCCTAGTCACAAGATCCACTGCTAGATGAGGTCCCTGTTACTACATCAGTTTACTATAGGTTAGTTTACAGTTTTTTTTAAAGTGATAGTAACAGATAACACGAAGATATAACCTACGGTCAAAGCCTAACCCCTCCCTTTAAGATGCCATTACATTTTACAATTCTACCCACAAGCAATTAAAGATGAGATATTTTGGTTCCTATTACCAGTGTAAGCTAGAATAGGACAGCTAGGGTTAACTGTGTGCATTTTACTATGGGGCTATATCTGTGCATTCCACTGTAAGCACACTGCTTTGTATGGCTCTGCTATGCATGCAAAGCAGCATGCAGGAGCTGATAGGGGAGAGAACTGTATTGTTTACATACAGTTCTCTCCCCAGTCAGTAATACTCAGCAATCACCAGGTGCCGGCGAGTGATCACTGGCCGGGACCTGGTGATTGACAGCCGAGGCCACAAATGGTGGCTAGGTAGGGCGCACATGCACCCCCTACCCGGAAATGCAAAATTACGTACACATACAGTTAGGTCCATATATATTTGAACACAGGGACAATTTACTTTTTTCAGGTATTTACCAAAACATATTCAAGCTATAGTAATATAATGGATATGGGCTGAACGTTCACACACTCAGGTTTAATTTGAGGGTATGTACATCCAAATTGGAGGAAGGGTTTATAAATTACAGCTCTTAAGGTGTAGCCATGTCCCCTTTTTCAAGGGACCATAAGTAATTGGACAATTGAATCAAAAGCGGTTTCATGGCCAGGTGTGGGCTACTCCTTCGTTATTTCTTCATCAGTTAAGCAGGTGAAACTTCTGGAGTTGACCAAGTGTGGTATTTGCATTTGGAATCTATTGCTGTGAACCTAAATCATGCGTTCAAAGGAGCTGTCCATGCAAGTGAAACAGGCCATTGTAAGGCTTCAAAAACCAGAACAAATCTATCAGAGATAGCAGCAACATTAGGAATGGCCAAATCATCAGTTTGGTACATTCTGAGGAAAGAAGAATGCACTGGTGAGCTCAGCAACATAAAAAAGCATGGATGTCCACGGAAGACAACGGTGGTGGATGATTGCAGGATCCTCTCTATGGTAAAGATAAACCCATTCACAACATCCAGACAAGTAAAGGACACTATCCAGGAGGTGGGCGCATCATTGGCAAAGTCTACAATCAAGAGAAGACTTCATGAGAGGAAATACGGAGGGTTTACCACAAGGTGCAAACCATTCATAAGCCTGAAGAATAGAAAAGCCAGATTAGACTTTGCCAAAAAACATCTAAAAAAGCCAGACCAGTTCTGGAAAAACATTCTTTGAACAGATGAAACTGAGATTGATCTCTACCAGAAGTACCGGAACAAAAAAAAAAAAAAAAAAAAAAAAAAAAAAAGTGTGGAGAAGGCTTGGAACAGCTCATGATCCAAAGCACACAACGTCATCTGTAAAACATGGTGGAGGCAGTGTAATGGCATGGGCATGCATGGCTACCAGCGGCACTGGGTCATTGGTGTTTATTGATGATGTAACAGAAGACAGAAGCAGCCGGATGAATTCTGCAGTGCTTAGAAATATACTGTCAGCTCAGATTCAGCCAAATGCAGCAAAGTTGATTGGACGGCTCTTCACAGTACAGATGGACAATGATCCAAAACACACTGCAAAAGCAACCCAGGAGCTTTTGAAGGAAAAGAAATGGAATATTCTGCAATGGCTGAGTCAATCACCTGATCTCAACCCAATTGAGCATGCATTTCACTTACTGAAGGCAAAACTAAAGGCAGAAAGACCCAAAAACAAGGAACAACTGAAGACAGCTGCAGTTGGAGCCTGGCAAAGAATCAGAAAGGAGGAAACCCAGTCTTTGGTAATGTCCATGGGTTCCAGACTTCAGGCAGTCATTGCCAGTAAAGGATTCTAAACAAAATATTAAAAATGAACATTTTATATATGATTATATTCATTTGTCCAATTACATTTGAGCCCCTGAAAATGGAGGATCTGTGTATATAAATGGTTGCAGTTCCTAAAATTTTTACTTGATATTTATGTTCAACCCCTCGAATTAAAGCTGAAAGTCTGCACTTCAAATTCATTTGGATTGTTTGGTGTTAATTTATTCTGGTGGCAAACAGAGCCAGAAGTATGAAAATTGTGCCTGTGTCCAAATATATATATATATATGGACCTAACTGTATGTGTATATGTTATTTACACACACGATTTTGTGCAGCCCTGCCACCCTGTAGCAGTATTTCTGCAATAGGACAGTGGGAAAGTGGTTAATATCAACAATGTGTAGCCAGCGGCATGCGCCGATTACATTCTACTGATGCTTTCAGTCCTGAATGACTAATTCATGCAGGAGCAGCAAATGCATACAACAATCTCGGCAAATTCTGAACGACTGAAGAACCAGGTCGCCTGAGCCTGCTGAATAAGTGACTAATTTAAGGCCAACATGTTCCCGTAACAGTGTACACGGTTCTTCTCCTGTTAAATTTGAAATTGGCATGGCTATGTGGGGCTCTACCTGCACATTTGTTATTCATTTACAGGGGATCTGTAAAAGAATGAACTACAAGTCCTGAATGCCACTGCAGCACACTTGTAGTACTCAATGGGATACAGCTGCTGTATTCACAGCACCTGTAGTGCATTCACTCTTCTTCCAGATTTACATCAAAGTCTGTACAGAGGTACAGGCAGAGAAATTTAGGAAGCGTTTGCATAAACCAGACATCCTGATTCACTGATTGTGGGTGCAATGCTTTGCAAGCTGAGAAAAAAAAAACCAAATGCATATTTTTTTTCCCCCTACAAATTAGATAGATAGATAGAGAGATTGATTTATATTATATTTGTTAAAGGTGAATGTACCTTTTAACTCTGTATGTATGCAAACAGAACACAAATGTTACATGCATATTTAACTGTAGGATCCTGCATTAATTCATATATCTCTGAACAAGTCCTAATTAGCTACTATGGCAAAAAAAAAACCCTAACACATTGGTGACAACTGGATACACTGAGAACTGATTACATCACCCAAAACTGCTATCCAGGCTTCTACTTTCATTTTCTATCTTGGAGGAAAAAAAATGAAAGCTGTCATCCCTGTATTTGTTTTACACAGCAGTGTCTCATGTACACGCCTTTGTAGTGAGGTGGCCATTGCAAACATTCTAACAAAGGAGTTATTGCTGCTATCACAGCCAATCAGATCACTGGAATGTCATGCCTGCTCCCCTGTAGCACTGTGACTTCTATGGACATCAAGAGAACCTTAGTACTTTGAGAATAAAAGACAAGGGTTTACCTGGACCTCTGGAAGAAGCTGAATGGGGAGACATCGTAGGAACTTTTCAAGAGATGGACTTTGTAATCCCCCTTGTAGAGTATACTCAAGCTGTACAACCTCATGGTGGCTTCTGCTGAAAGGATGACACACAATCACAGTTACACACGGTTTCTAAATATCCAGATGTAGGCTTCTTTCACATGGAGGGCAAATTGATCTATGCCCAGTGCAGGGCCCTGTTTTACCAGCACAGGGATGCAGAGGTGTTGCTTGAACCCCCATGCTAAAAGTCCCATAGTTGTCATTTAGGATGTAGCACCAGCATGGATGCAGTTGCTGTTACCAATGTAACAGACATCCATCTGTATTCTGCACAAGCCACTGATTATAGCCTAGTTCACACGGGACATAAAAAACGCTGCATACAGAGGTGTGCAAGGTCAAGTTCTGCATGCATTTGTATGCGGCAAAAAGAATTCGACCATCCCGTCAGGTGCGTTTTGTAGCTAGTGATGTGTCTGTGGCTGCACAGATTCTTACATAGTTAGTCTGGTCAAAAAAAATGACCACTCAGTTCAAGCAATAGCAGGGAGAAAAACAAAATATACAATTCTATATACACAATCCTAGATTGTAAGCTCCAAGAGCAGGGCCCTCCTATCCCTCTTGTATTGTTGCTGTATTGTCTCCCGTTATAGTGTAAAATGCTGAGCAAACTGTTGGCGCTATATAAATCCTGAATAATAATAATATACACACAATCCTATACCCACAGTTCATCCAGAGGAAGGCAAAAACTCCAGTAAAGCACAATCCAATTTACTCCAGCTGGAGAAAAACTCCCTACCTGATCCCCCAAGAAGAGGCAATCAGATATTCCCGGGATCAAATGTACCTATAAATATTGTATCCAGTTATATTTTTTGGATCTAAGAAAGAATCCAGGCCTTTTTTTAAAACAATCCACTAAGCTGGCCAGACCAACTCTTCAGGGAGTCTAGGCCACATTTTCACAGCTCTTACTGTGAAGAAGCCTTTCTATATTTGGAGGTTTAATCTCTTTTCCTCCGGATGTAAAGAGTGCCCCCTTGTTCTCTGCACGTGTCGTGTGAACGAGGCCATAGGAAAGCACTGAGCCTCTAGCTTTCCCAGAAATTATCTACCTGACCCCTCTAGATGTACAAGAACAACAACTCTCAGCATGTCTGACCAACTCCTCCAGAGCATGGTAGTCCTCCACCAGCAGGAGAGTCTGCCCAGGCACACTGAGAGCTGAAGTCCTTCCAAAGTCCCTAGAGGGTGTGTTCAGAGGTATGCTGGGTCTTGTAGTTCTCCAGCTGGGTCTTGTAGCTCGCTCACACACGGCGTGCTCAAGGCGGATACAATGTGTACAGAGCCTCACCTCAGCCTCTCCTCCCTTCACCCTCGAGGTCTCCTCTTCCTCCCTCTCTCCCTCCTTTCTAGCCGCTCTCTCGGTCCAGCTGAAAAGCCCGGAAGCGGCCCTTCCCGTTACACGTCACAAGCCGGAAACAGGTGCTTCTCTAAATTGTTTCCGTCAGGAAGACTACATCTCCCAGGGAGCAGAGCGCTGTGCACACCAGAGAGGGGGTCGGGTGGGGTGCTGAAAGCCAATCAGAAGCTCAGTGTCGGGGAGGGGGGGGCGAATGGGAACTTTGGAAAAGCAGCTGCAGTGCATAATAATAGTGTGTGCCAGTAGAGGGGGCATTGGAGTGTAAGCTCTTCTGGTAAGGGTGAGAATAGCTCAGTGTTCTCTGTACAGCACTCGGCAATATATCAGAGTGATAGAAATCAGAGTATCTGGTACAGTTCCCTATACTGCATTCTATAATATACACTATATTGCCAATAGTATTGGGACGCCTGCCTTTACATGCACATGAACTTTAATGGCATCCCAGTCTTATGCAGGCCATAGACGGGTTAAAAATCTGCTGATTTTTTGGCTGAAAAAAAAATTGGCTGATTTTCGCACCGTTAGGTCAGCCGTTTTTTGGGGTTTTGGCATATTTTTTTATTGGTAAAATTGGAAAAAAATCGGCCAATTTTTCCCAGCAATGATGAGCAAATCGGCCGATCGTTTTATCGATATAAATCTGCGCATGAGCCGTGACCTGCAAGAAGAAGAAAAAGAAGAACTCTGCCCACTTTTAGGCGATCTCTGAAAACCTATCTCTTCAGGGAAGCCTATCCCGCCTTCAGCTACTAATGGAATCTTCTATTCCTCTTATCAGTTCATCCCCCACAGTTATTACCTCTTGTACCACCAGCCCTTCCCTCGTAGATTGTAAGCTCCAAGGAGCAGGGCCCTCCTGACCCTCTTGTATTGCACTGTACTATTGCTGTATTGTCTCCCATTATAATGTACAGCGCTGAGCAAACTGTTGGCGCTATAGAAATCCTGTATAATAATAAGAAGAAAAAGAAGAATTCCAGTCCGCTATTATATTTTATATGAAAAGTATTGCGGTTGCAACATTGTATCTATTTGTATCTGAATAAAAACATCTGTATCCGAAATGGATACAAGTGGATACATTGTTGCAAACGCAATACTTTTTTCATGTCAAATAAATTAGTGGAGGTCTCTGCAAGGGACAGAAGTAATTAAATGCTGGCCGTAGACGGGGCGACAATTGGCTGATTTTTTTTACCATTGGTGGTAACGTCGGCCTATTGAACGACCGATTTTTTTTTTTTTTTTTTTAAAAAAAGTCCAGTTTTCGATCTGTCTATGGCCTGCATTAGTCCGTACAGTTCAATATTGAGTTGGCCCACCCTTTGCAGCTATAACAGCTTCAACTCTTCTGGGAAGGCTGTCCACAAGGTTTAGGAGTGTGTCTATGGGAATGTTTGATCATTCTTCCAGAGGTCAGGCACTGATGTCGGACGAGAAGGCCTGGTTCGCAGTCTCCACTCTAATTCATCCCAAAGGTGTTCTATCGGGTTGAGGATCCAAGATGGTGGACAACGCAATGACGTTAGAAGGGAGGCTCCACTTCTAAAGTCATCACGTCTGCCATCTTGGATTCTGTATATGACATGATTGCTGCTTTTTTACCTGCAGTGTTTGTAAGTAAGATTCTATTTGTGCAATAAAGGTATTTGGTTTTACTGCACTATGAGAGGCACTTTTTATCTCACATGGGCTAATCTTGATATCAACATCGGAATGGCTTACTTACATCTAAGTGGAACCTGGGGTCCCAGTCAAAGTTTAGGAGTCGGGACGGAGCTATGTTTATATAGAGCCTACTATGTCCCGCTATAATTAAGGGGTCTGTCAATCTGGTAAGCCTCCGATTTGCCTATATGGTGGTGGTCCATTCACGTTGGTGGTTTTGTAGATGGAAAGAAGATTATCATTACTGATTATTATATCCAGGAAACGGATGTGTATTTTCATGAACTGTCTGTGAAGGTTAATACTCACGCGGACTTTGAGCACTTTATTGTCCTCCTTATGGAGTGTTTGTGATTGTAGTCACACAATTGACTTTGAGCATTTTATTGTGCATTTATCTGCTGATTTTAGTTTTTTATTTTTTCACAAATTTGTCACTTTAATTACACTTAGCACAACATTAATTGTTTACATTATACAGTATAGTTGATGAGCAATTTGTTACAGCAGTTCATTGGTTTTTCCATGGTCCCAACATGTTTTACCCACTAAGGCTTCTACAGGGGAAATGACCGCTGCTTATTCCAGAACTACATACAAAAATATACAGAAGAATTACAATAATATCTACAATCATTAACACAGTTATTAAACATTACATTTGATTTTATCTACAGTTTATAATCTGCCATGCTTACCCAGAATATTTCAAACAAAAGAGAAAGATTATTTTAGGAATGATGGCAGTAATTGGGGTCCAAGTGATCACAGGGGGCACAGAAGGACCAAGCTGTAAAGAATTAGAATAATTGTAGATCAATAAAGTATGGGACAAATTGTAGGACGAAACAACTCAGGCAAAAGTTCTACTGCTAACTTACAAAAGTCATAAAACAGGACCACAAGAGGGCACCCAGATAATGGAAAAACCCTTCTCCCAGTTTCAATAAATTGGCCTATACATAAGACAACAAATTATGATAGGGTGATTGTATAATATGCCGTTTGGGTCATAGACTAATAAGTACATATACACTATATTGCCAAAAGTATTGGGACGCCTGCCTTTACACGCACATGAACTTTAATGGCATCCCAGTCTTAGTCCATAGGGTTCAATATTGAGTTGGCCCACCCTTTGCAGCTATAACAGCTTCAACTCTTCTGGGAAGGCTGTCCACAAGGTTTAGGAGTGTGTCTATGGGAATGTTTGACCATTCTTCCAGAAGCACATTTGTGAGGTCAGGCATTGATGTTGGGCGAGAAGGCCTGGCCCGCAGTCTCCGCTCTAATTCATCCCAAAGGTGTTCTATCAGGTTGAGGTCAGGGCTCTGTGCAGGCCAGTCAAGTTCCTCCACCCCAAACTCGTTCATCCATATCTTTATGCACCTTGCTTTGTGCACTGGTGTGTAGTCAAGGAACAGGAAGGGGCCATCCCCAAACTGTTCCCACAAAGTTGGGAGCATGAAATCGTCCAAAATGTCTTGGTATGCTGATGCCTTAAGAGTTTCCATCACTGGAACTAAGGGGCCAAGCCCAACCCCTGAAAAACAACCCCACACCATAATCCTCCCTCCACCAAACTTTACACTTGGCACAATGCAGTCAGGCAAGTACCATTCTCCAGGCAACCGCCAAACCCAGATACATCCATTGGTTTGCCAGACAGAGAAGCGTGATTCATCACACCACAGAACAGATCTCTGCTGCTCTAGAGTCCAGTGGCAGCATGCTTTTCTCCACTGCATCTGACGCTTTGCATTGCACTTGGTGATATATGGTTTAGATGCAGCTCCTTGACCATGGAAACCCATTCCATGAAGCTCTCTACACACTGTTGTTGTGCTAATCTGAAGGCCACATGAAGTTTGGAGGTCTTTAGCTATTGACTCTGCAGACAGTTGGTGACTTCTGTGCGCTGTGCATTTCAGCCTACGCTGACCCCACCCTGTTATTTTATGTGGCCTACCACTTTGTGGC